TGGTCTGGAGTATAAGAAACAAAAGTAAGAGAAATAATAGCTACATCCACTGACTATTTACTAAGTGCCTAGCGTTGTGTTGAATATTATTTATATACAGTTCTTAAGTTCTTTCAACAATCTTGTCAGTTAAGAATTATTATCCCTATTTTACAGCCAATAAACCCAGGCACAGAGTTTCAGAAATGTGCCCATAGCCAGGCAGAGCCGGGTCTATGAAACCCCAAGCCTGCATATTTAACCAATAGGCCATACTGTCTCCAGTGGTGGCCTTGGGCCCTGTTAAAATGTGATGTATCAGATTGGAACAGGTTTCCACCAGGTTCACTGGAAAGAGGACAAATGTATTTTTAAAAATATTATTATATTACTGATAGGAATGGTGGAGACACTGTCATAAGATACGTGTTCTAATAACTAGACCACTACAGTACATGCAACTCCCACAGCCCCCAAGATAACCCAGCCCTAAGCAATCCTATTTTCTATCACACCACATATATGTACCCACCCAGCCAATGACCAGAGATGAGTGAAACAGGAGTCAATATTTGACCCAGAGATGCTAATCTACAGGATGCCAATAGCCTTAGAGACGACCCCTAAGTCATCTCCTTTTGCCTAGCTCCCCCTAGGCAAACATATATAAGTTCAACCATAATTATATTCTCCAAAATATGAACTGGGAAATAAGAATTCAAAGTCTTGAGGTATAGAGAGACTGGAATTATGCTAGGAGTGCAGAGATTATTAAAATTAGAAAAATCTAGTAAAGAAGGTGGTGAAAAGTTACAAACTTCCAGTTATAAGATATATAAGTTCTAGGAATCTAATTACAGCATGGTGACTATAGTTAATATTGTATTGTATATTTGAAAGTTACTAAGAGAGTAGATCTTAAAAGTTCTCATCACAAAAAAAAAATCTGTGACTATGTGAGGTGATGGATGTTAACTAAACTTACTGTGGTAATCATTTCACAATATATACATATATCAAATCATTATGTTGTACACTTTAAACTTATACAGTGTTATGTGTTGATTATATCTCGATAAACTGGATAAAAGAAAAATCTAGTAATGCAACTCACTACATTATAACAGAATAAAGAAAAAAAAATCCAATTATCTCAATAGATGTAGAAAAGGCACTTGATAAAATTCAAACACCCCAACCTACACAGGTGATAAAATTGCATAGAAATTAATAGGCACACACACACACACACAAGTACAAATAAATTTAAGGAAACCTGAGTAAGATCAGTGCATTGCATCAGGGTCAATATCTGTATTGTGATCTAACACATAATTTTCCAAAACGTTATCATTGGGGTAAACTGGCCAATGTATACAAGCGATCTCTCTGTTTTGCATCTTAGAACTGCATGTAATTCTGCAATTATTTCAACTAAAAAAGTCAATCTTAACGAGAGGGCAAGAGGTGGAGATAGAAGAAGAGAGGAAGGGAGAAAGGGAGAGAAGGAGGGAGGGAGGGAGAGAGAGAGGGAGAAAGGGAAAGGAGATCAATTGTACGTAAACAAAATTGCATTAATGCATCAAAATTTGGTAAGTTAAAAATATAGAATAATAATTTTATTTTAAAAATCATAGCCACTCCATCCTTCCAATGTTTCAGTATAGCCTTACCAAAATTTTAAAGTTTCAAATTTTTGCATTTTCAGATCACAACCTTTCCACCGATGCTGCCAACATGGTAATATGATGAATGTGATACTAACATACATGACATAGAGTCAGGGATATCACACGATTTATAATACCGCCAGCCATAAAAACCTGTGTCCACGGCTTTTCTTTAACCTACATTATATAAACCTTGCTGCTTGTTGTGGTATTTTTGTTTCAGTTATCCTAATAAAAGGAGTAATTATGTCAAAACAAAACAAAACCTCACCAACAAGGAATAAAAAAGAACTTCCATAATCTAATAGATTCTCCCAAAAACCCCAGAGTAAACATCATGCTTAAATGGTGATATAAACAGATATAAAACCTGTCATATGTTCTTCATTTTAAAGCTAAGAACAAGGCAAGGATGCCCACCATCACTGCTTACATTCAACACTGTATTGGGGTCCTAGCCCATGCCATTAAAAATTTTAACTTAATTAATTACACTTAATTTAATTTAATATGCTTAATTTAATTAAGTATACTTTTAATTAAGCATGCTTAGGAGAAGAATTGAAAAAAAACAAAGTTGTCACTATTCACAGGTCATGTGATTGTTTAGAAAACGTGGTAAATTTTAGAACTAAAAGAGAATCCACGAAAGTTGCTGGATTTGAGATTGACAGCAGGGGCTGAAGAGCCCATGACAGGTGTCACGAACTGAAGTCCTAAGTAAGCAGACGAGACAACCCATTGGTACCAATAAGAAAAGCAGAAAGAACTAGAAAAGAGTTGAGCCCTGGAACGACGACCACCAAGTCTTGCTCATCTTGTTAAGCATCTCCTGCTGCATTAGACCAAGGGCTAGCCTCTGTGAGGCCCGGCCACACCAGGCTCCCAGTTCTTTGGCTCCCATATCTCGCTATTCCACAGTACTCACCACAACCACCTGTCTAAACTAACCTGATAAACATCTCCAACTTGCATGCAAAAGAACTCAACGAAAACACACATAAATATGAAAAACGAACATGTCTTCAGAACTGGAATAAGTTAGTATAACGAGCTTAATTTCTACTTAAAATTATAATTTTTATTTATTTATAAAATGAGTTTTAATGATCCCACCATCAGAGAGAAGCAGTATTGTAATCTACGACTACAAATATTCTCTAAAGCACTAGTATTTGCCTTGGAATGTATTATGGATCTTTGTAGGAGGTCTACTTTCCAAATGAGATTTTGCTTAGACTACCATTAAAATAAGATTTAATATTCTGAACACAAAATAACTGATGACCAAGAAGACTTACCTAGTAGTGTGTTGGAATACCAACCTTTGCCCAATGAGTGTCAACATGGTGGACAGCCTACACTGAAATACTTGAACTTCAACCACCTCAGGAAGGAGGCCAGACAAAACCACACCATTTTTGAGTTTTTAAACTGGAAAATTGTAAATTAATATGAACCTAGTAAATGGCTCATTGTCACTGACAGCTCAATGTCTCATCTGCTTACTTACAAGCGTTGGTTATAATGATTACAGTGTGTAATATGTAAAAAATCTGTAAAATAAAAAAATATGTAAAAAACATATGTAAAAAACTTGGATGTTTTCAATATTGGCCCAGGCCACCTTTGGCAGCACTACTGAAGGAAGCTCCATGCCCTTTGTATTCTTTCATACTCCTGAGGCAAAATATTTGGATGATGACAATCCTATCATAGGTTTCCTTAAACTTGGGCTCTGTTGCAGAAACCCTCCTTCTTTGATAATTCAGAACACCCTGACCAATATAGTAGCCATGAGTTACGCACGGCTACTGAGCACTTGAATTGAATTAAGATATTCTGTAAGGGTAAGATACACCCCGGATTTCAAAGACGTTGTACAATAAAAAGAATATACAATCTCATTTGTAATTCTTACATTAATTAAATGTTGAAATAATATTTTTGATATTTGATTTAAATAAAATGTATTATTAAAATTACTTTCACCTGGTTAACTTTTTTTAATGTGGCTACGAGAAAATTTTAAATTATCTATATGTCTCACATTATATATCTACTAGATAGTGCTGATTTAGAAAGTCAAAAGATATTTTAAATGATGTGTGTATAATATATATAACATTTAAAACATTAATAAATATGCTTATAAGACACTTTGTATATCATTTGATAGAAAACTCCTGTAAAGACAGGTGTAATCTTATAACAATAAGACAAAAGAGGCACCATTTATTGAGTTCCAGCTTTTGACTGGATAGCGCTAAATGCTTCAAATAGATTATCTGCAGTGCTCCCAATAGGGAGGAGTAACATGGATCAGGGAGACTGAGTGATTTGCCCCAGATTGCACAGCTAGGAAGTGCTGGGTCCAGGCTCTGAATGCAGTCAGTCTGATGCCAATGCCTGTACCTTGTAGTACTTGAAGCAAAGAAATTGGGAGAGGCCCTATTGGGAAGTAACCATCTCTTACGAAGTTGGTCATTGTCCACCTTCGGCAGGGACTTTCTAAGCCACATGTCTGTCGTTAAGAAGGTGCTCCTTTTCTGCTTTGGCCACTGTGAAGCAGTTTTGAAAACCAGCACACCTACCCAACCAACCTGAGTGGCCCACTGCTCATCCTGCTCTGAGAAAGGATTTGCAGGTGTGACACAGAGGTTTGAGGCGTCACACAGCAAGGTGTGCCAGAGGCAGCAAAACAATGGCACCAGGTGAGGTGTGGTCAGCTGTCTTCGTGACACCTCTTAGATGAGTTCCTCTGCTTGATCTTTAGCCTGGCCTAAGCTTCTGACTCTAGTCCACTCTTGGAAGATGCATCAGTAACAACAGCACTAACGGATGGGAAACTCTGGAACACCTGAGGAGGAAACAGCTCACAGCAGAAGGGGCAATGACATTGCCACAGGAGAGAAGCAGATTCACCATAAAACTAAGACAGATTGCCAAAAGAAAGATCCTTCTAAAACCCCAAATATCTCCTGCCACCAAGCTTTGAAAACATCAGTCATGCAAAACATGGGCACTCCTTCATCCATCTTCTCCAACATGCTCCTAGCCAATAGGTGATGGAAGTCTACAGACATCTGCTTAGCATTAGAACACAGGTACCCAAAAAAGCAATTTTCCTTCCTGCAGCATTTGGAAAAGTGGAAGTGAAGGGTGGGAGTGACGGGGACGTGGGGGGGGGGGTGGAAACTGGCCAGGAAAAAAAACAGAAAGCTCAGTGACATTCGGACCTGGACCTAGGAATGTTTGAACGGTTCAGAATGGGACACTTTGTCACCTCTGATTTAATTAGAAGACAGTTTTCAGGATGCTGAAGGTCTAGGCTGGTAATCAAGCACTTACGTAATCCTCTTCATTGAGCCCTTGTTTCTCAACAGAACTTTTCACTTCCATGGAAAACTTCTCAAACTCGGGTTTCACTGTCCTCAGTAGAGTGATTGTTTGGAGGGATGAGTATGCTTGCTTAGCTTCAAAGTCGTGTTTGTCTCCTCTCTTCCAAGAGCCATCTCCTATGGGAGAAATAAAAATATTTATAATTCCAAGCCAGTCACCATAAAGGGGCCATTCTTCCTTTTCAACTGCGATGTGTCTCTACATGTTACTTTTGGCAGCCAGGGCAAGAGGTATTGTCATAGTTTTGCACTTGGGTGTGATGTGACAATGTCAAGATCCTCAAAGAAGAAGAAGGTCTTTTGGACACATGTTCCTTTGAAAAGTGAGAGAGAAAGAAAAGCACTGTGGAGTAAATTGCCTTATAATAACCATGTCACTGTATTTTCACCCCCCAAGAACTGCAGCACTGCAGGAGTAAGAAGTAAGTTTTTATTCCTTTCCATTCAAACTTATTTTTTAAAACCTACAATCAACTGTGGAGGTCAACCAAGTTGTTAGTGTGGTACAATACACCTGGTGTGATGTGGATGTGGAACGGCAGGAATGCCTCTGTATGACAACGCATGTGCACAAGTATGACAAAGTTGGCACCGTTAAAAGAGAAAAGTTTGAGATTATTAATATTTCTTGAAATATTTCTGGAATCTCTTCAGTGTGAAAGTAGCTTAGGTGAACGTGAGGATTTGTATTTCTCTAGTGCTGGCAACATCATAAAAATTATTTATTGGACACTGTTCATCAGTGCATCAATAGTAAAAAAAATGAAAATTGCTAACATTTATTGAGCATAGATATAATAATAAAAGCTCTATTTATTGAGCACTTTATATGTTTAAACTCATTTAATCCTCACGAGACCCCGTGATGCAGGTCCAATTATCCTCTCTATTTTACAGATGAGGAAACCAAGGCATTGAGAAGCTAGGTACCCCACTGCTTCACAGCTCTCCCTTTCACAAAAGCAAAGGCAAATTACATGGATAATAATCATTACTCGTCTCTTTATTATTTCATTTTGAGAAAATATGTGGCCTGTAGGGCCCCGAAAGGAAAGGTAGACCTCTAACTTTTGACAATAAGCTGTTGTTTCTATGAATTATCACTATGATTCCTGGAGATCTTGAAAATACATCAAGGAACTCATCCTGCTGGAGTCGAACACCAAAGTCATTTGTTTGCCCCAAGCCCCTAGTCCGCAGCAGACACCTCGAGGCCAGAGGCTGAGCAGTGAGGATGTCTCTGGAGGGTCAGCCAGGGCTCCGTGACACTTGTTCTACTCTTACAGAAAAAGTTCAATAAAGAGTTGGTGGTTGGGCCGGCCCCGTGGCTTAGCGGTTAAGTGCGCGCGCTCCGCTGCTGGCGGCCCGGGTTCGGATCCCGGGCGCGCACCGACGCACTGCTTCTCC